GGCATCGCAACCTCCCAATCCGCCCTGCTCTGTGTATGACAGGGGGCGGCGCCTCAACTCCCCAATCGGCCCTGCTCTGAGCTGGACCAGGGGCTGCACCTAGGCATTGGGCCTGCCCTCTGCCACCTGGGATCAGGCCTAAGCCAGCAGGTCATTATCTCCCAAGGGGTCCCAGACTGCGAGAGGGCACAGGCCGGGCTGAGGGACCTCCCTCCCCACCGAGTGCACAAATTTTTGTGCACTGGTCCTCTAGTATATATATATTATTGATTTTTTACAGAGAGGAAGGGAGAGGGATAGAGCAGGGCTGATTGGGGAGTTGGGGCGCCACCCCCTACTAGAAACATCGATGAGAGAGAAACATCGATCAGCTGCCTCATGCACACTCCCTACTGGGGATGTGCCCACAACTAAGGTACATGCCCTTGATCGGAATCAAACCTGGGACCCTTGAGTCCGCAGGCCGATGCTCTATCCACTGAGCCAAACTGGTCAGGGCCCAATTTGTATTTCTTAATCCCTTCCCCATTCTCACCCAGCCCCAATCCTCCCTCACATATGGCAAACAGAACCTGAGTTACTTTTAAATGAGTAATTCACTTTGATACAAAGCTCATCTATATGACAAATGTCTGGTGTTTTTGTGAATCTTCATGTTTCACTCTGAGTTTCAGGTTTTTCTTTCTTCTTTTTTAACAGTGTCATGTGACTGTTCACACTGCATCTCATTTTCTATGCTTCTTTCTCATTAAAATAACATATCTGTAGCCCTTTCAGTGTGTCAGCTTGGGCAAGTTCCATCAAAGACAATGGTAATTTAACTGTGTCTGCAGCCAACACCATGTTGGCAAAAATAAAGACAATCATAATGCATTTCAAACTCCGAGCTTAGCCCCCTGTCTGCTGCTGCCTAATTCCTCCAAGCACAGTAGTGACACTTAGGGATGTGCTTCCACCAGATATCACGGGGATTGCACCTCACAGCCTGTCCCACGCAGGCTCTGCTGCAACTTATCCTCATGCTCATTGTTCTTTGGAAAATGTACTGACCCCCCTTATAAATCCCTCCCACCTGCCCCAACCTTTCCCTGGACTCCATTTCTCAGAGTACAGGTCCTTTAGAGGTGGAGAGAAAGCTGCTTTGATGAGAAAATAAAGTTCTTACCTGTTTTTTCTCCTCAGTGTAGGTTGCAGTGGTTTGTTACTTCTTTGCCTTTCACTGGATGGTTGGTCTTTTGTTTAAACTCCGATGTGACGTGGCTGTCCTGACTTCCTAAAGTACTTTGTTAGAAATGACGGATTTAGAGGAATGTGAAACTGAAAGCACTGAGTAAAAAGCAGTGACTCGACCACCATAAAAGGAATTTTTGAAAGCTATGCAAATGGAGGGCACATGGATTTTATAGGATTTCTTATCTAGTTCATGACAGGCCAGCAGAGGACATTTGGTTCAGGTGGACTAGAAAGTCCCAAAGGAGAAAGTGGCCCCAGTCTCATTTCATGGAGTAACCTGTGGTCACCCTATCTGGCTCAACAGGAGGCAGTCACACTGAGGGCAACACAGCAGGCCAAGGATAACGAGGGCAGCTTACAGCCCACAGCCTCTAGGGCCACCACTAATCAGGTTGAAGGACAATGGACTCCATGTAATCAGACTAGAACACTTACATCCCCCAGTCTCCACCCTACTGGTTTTGCACATAAAATTCAACCCCAAGGACAGTGGAGACTGCATGCTAACCTTCCCTGGTTGTGGCTCCATCCCCCCATTTCCTCTAATAAACTTCCCTCCTGCTTGCTCACTGTGTCCACCTAATTCCTTGAGTGACTCTAATCTTACAGTTCAGTTTGACAAAAGCTCCATTGCTAGTTCCTGGGGGTGTGGTCAACAAGGTGTGGCTCCCTGTTCCCTCTTTCAAGCAGGGTAAGGTGTGTCACTGGGAGAGGCAGGCACCAGTATTTCTCATCCCGTCCAACACTGAGTTGCAGAGACTGGAGGCTGGGGCTCCCAACCAGCACCCAGCCCCACTCACAGAGTGAAGGCTCTAGCTGATGCACAGCAGGCTGAGATTGCCTGGCCTGCCCGACCCTCCCTTTGGCTCACTTGTAGGAAGGAGTTTCCCAGCTGGGAGAGGCACGTGGGGAAGACCAGAGGCTACCACCCCTGCCCAGGGGAGGAGCAGTGGCTCAGAGATATTTGTCCAGGGAGAGAGGCAGTGCATCATCACAGAGATCTCTGAAGTTCTCCCCCAAAGAACTGATTTTATTGAAACAGTGTGTGGACTTGAAGAAACTTTATTGCTAGCAAATTAACTTTAGAAAAAACACAAAAGGAGGTTTTCAGGGAGGAAGCAAGTGATTTCAGATGGTAGCACAAATCCATGTAGAAAAACAAAGAGCAGCACTAAGGGAATTGTGTAATTATAAAAGACAGTATAAATGCAGGTTTATTTTCCTTTCTCCTCTTAACTGGTTTAAAAGCAATTGTATACAATTGTATTGCAGGGCCCATGACATACTTAAATGTAATATATGCAGGAATATGACACCTGATATTAAGATAAACTCATAGGAATAAAGAGAACCAGAAATTGTAAGTCAGAAAATTAATATAACAAGCCCTATACATTTATCCTTTCTCCTTTAGCTTCTTTCAAGACATATGTGGATGAAAGGGCCACATGCTGACCTGACAAGCTTAGGGGAGGCCTGCATGGCAGTCTTGCAAACTCAGAGACCTAAAGTAACCACAAAGGATGGTCTGAAACTCAACTTTAGCAAAAAGCAGTTATGGTGGGCAGTTACGTCCTAGGCTGGTATCTTCACTGACAAGATCAACCTTTACCTTAACTGAGCCTATCTGTCTTTTTGCATCTATGATAACATACCCTTGAAGTGTCTGGGTAACTTGTAATTTCCCTTTTTCTGGACCCCCCTGGGGCACAATCAAATGTGCTGGGCGCCAGGGCAGATACCACAATTTCCTTCATTATCATGTTAGCTGTTTCTGCACCCACCTAAGTATGTGTCTATCATTTTACTTTTTATCCAATCCCAGGGGTTTCTCTCCCCCCCAACCCCTGCTTTGCTTTCTCCCACCTCTCTAATCTACCACCAGTGGATTTCATGCAACCCACCTAAGTCCCTTCATTTGATTGCTATGTATAAATACAGATGTAACCTGCCAGGGGTCTTGGCCATCATCTAGAAGGGTTCAGGAATCTGGAGAAGGGCTGCATGTAAATTATTAAATAGTCCAGAGATGAAACATAAATTTGGAAGGCATTTTGGGGAGCCAGAGGAGCTTTGCTGTAGGAACCAAGTTCTGTTGTCTCTCTGGACCCCTTGCTTTTTATTAACAAAAATTGTCCTCAAGCAAGGTAGATATACATATCAAAGGCAAGGTTTAGGGGATTGGGGGAACTGCCTATGGCTGTTCAGGTGTTTGGCCAGTAGGAGGCAATAACATGTAGACTGAAATGACCTCAGCTGTCTGGCAGCAAGCAATCATCTATGCAAATCTTTAGGTGTGGGGAAATGCCCTTAGCCATTTCCAGTAGGCAATCCTCAAGGTTCCATCAACCTTTTGATGAAACTTCTTGCATTTATGACATGCTGGAATTAGTTTCTGGCAGTAACCTGCCAATCTCCAGAGCATTATCTCAATTTGTTGAGGTTCTGCTTCCTGGCATATGTTGACAGTTTGGCTCCAGTAAACTCACAAAAATTCTTTACAGGTTTCTTTTCTTTCTTTTCTTTTTTTTTCAAGCAAAGTGTGGAAATTTTATTACAAGCAGATTCAGCCTCCCCACAAGGGGAGGGCGACCCAAGAATGGGCTGCCCATTCAAGCCTTGTAGTCCAGGGGTATATATTTGCTACAAGCCTGCTCTAGGTCTATCTGTGTTGTCACCTGTTTGATTCCCTCAATTGTTTTTGCCCAGCAATGGCCCTAAACTTTTCCTGTGTCTGTGTGTTCTTTCTCTGTTCCTATGCTGAACTTTTTGTTTCTTTTTTTAAAAATAAATCTTTATTGTTCAGATTATTACAGATGTTCCTCTTTTTTCCCTTCATAGCTCCCCTCCACCTAGTTCCCATCCCACCCCATGCCCTTACCCCCCGCCACTGTCCTCATCCATAGGTGTAAGATTTTTGTCCAAACTCTTCCCTCACCCTTCACATCCCCCTCCCCCTGAGAATTATCAGTCCACTCCCTTTCTATGCCCCCGCTTCTATTATATTCAGCAGTTTATTCTGTTCATCAGATTATTTTTATTGACTTAATTTTTAGATTCACTTGTTGATAGATATGTATTTGTTGTTCCTTTGTGGTTCATAATTATTATCTTTACCTTTTTCTTCTTCCTCTTCTTAAAGAATACCCTTCAGCATTTCATATAATCCTGGTTTGGTGGTGATGAACTCCTTTAGCTTTTTCTTGTCTGTGAAGCTCTTTATCTCACCTTCAATTCTGAATTATAGCTTTGCTGGGTAGAGTATTCTTGGTTGTAGGGTCTTGCTATTCATCACTTTGAATATTTCTTGCCACTCCCTTCTGGCCTGCATAGTTTCTGTTGAGAAATCAGCTGACAGCCATATGGGTACTCCCTTGTAGGTAACTAACTGTTTTTTTCTTGTTCCTTTTAATATTCTCTTTGTCTTTTGACCTTGGCATTTTAATTATGATGTGTCTTGGTGTGGTCCTCTTTGGATTCCTCTTATTTGGGGTTCTCTTCACTTCTGGGACTTGTAAGTCTATTACTTTCATCAGGTAGGGGAAGTTTTCTGTCATTATTTTTTTTAATAGGCTTTCAATATGTTGCTCTCTCTCTTCTTCTGGCACCCCCCTAATTCGGATGTTGGTACGTTTGAAGTTGTCCCAGAGGCTCCTTACACTATCTTCATATTTTTGGATTCTTTTTTCTTTTTGCTTTTCCAGTTGGGTGTTTTTTTGCTTCTTCATATTTCAAATCTTTGAGTTGATTCTTGGGATCCTCTAGTCTTCTGTTGGATCTCTGTATATTCTTCTTTATTTCAGTCAGTGTATGCTTAATTTCTGACTGGTCCTTTTCCATTTTTTTTGGTATTCTCATTAAGATCCTTGAAAGTCTCACTAAGTTCCTCGGAGGTTTGTAGAAGATTTTTGAGTAACCTTATAACTGTGGTTTTGAACTCTAAATCCAGTAATTTGCTTTCCTCCATTTCTTTCATTTGTGACATGTTTCTTTGTCTCCACATTTTGGCTGCTTCCCTGTGTTGATAGAGTGGCTTTCTGTGCTAGGTGTCCTATTGGGCCCAATGGCTCAGCCTCCCCTATCACCTGAGGTGAACACTCTTGGTGCACCCCTTTGTGGGCTGGGTGTACAGTCTTGTTGTAGTTAAGCCTTGATTGCTGTTGGTATCCCTGGAAGGAATTGACCTCCAGGCCAATTGACTGCAAGGACCCGCTGTGTTTATAGTGGAAGAACTGCTGTGCTGGAGACACCCTTATGGTGCAGGACTTGCTTCAGTGGGGCTTTGGTCCTCACTGAGTCTGCCTCTTGACTGTGTCACTTATGGATGTGAGGAGTTGAAATCTGATATCTGACCCCTGGGTACACTGGCTCCTGGATCTCCAAGGAGGTGCAAATTCAGCCACTGTGTGAGTCCGCCCAGCAGGAGCTACCGAGATATCTGCAAATTTCTCCTCTTTTTGGGGGGTTTGGAAATTTTGGAGCTCTCTGACCCAACTGCAGTTTGTTAGGTTAGGCTGCAAAAGTGCAGGTGATTCATTTGTACCTGCACACAGCTTGGGTGGGGTTGTAAATTGAGTGGGGTGGGGTTTCAGAAAATCAACTGGGCAGAGCAAACAGCGATGGCTGTCATCAGCCATCTCCGCAACTCCGCGCGTCTCCGTGTGTCTCTGCATCTCAGTGTCTCCGCGTCCCCGGGTCCCCTAGCCCCATGCCCCCACAGTAACAGTGATCCTTGTGAGCAATTCTGAAAGAAAGCCACCCTTGCTTTCTGACACGATGCCAAATAGTCCAGTTTCTTCCCATAGGAGTCTGGGTCCCTACAGTCTCCCTGGAAACGAGTTCACTGCATTCGGGAGTTTGTATCTTCTGATTGAAAAAAAACTGCACACCCAGGTGCAGCCCAGTTCGCGCACCTCCATATCTCTGCTCTTGGCGCCTCTGCACCTCCTACCCAGCCTCAATGCGCTTTTTTCTTTCCTTCTAGTTGTAGAACTTCCACTTAGCCAGCTTTCCCGTGGTTCTGGATGATCACTGTTTTGTCTTTTACTTA